CCCCCCCCCCCCCCCCCCCCCCCAATGAAATAATTATTAGCGCTTCAGAACTGATAAACCAAGGCAAGCCTCTAACTGCACGCAGCCCAGCGACAGCAACAAAAAGCAACACAAATCTAAAGAGTTTGGGGGAATGAAATCAACATCAGCGCCTCCCCGTCTCTCCGTGGGCATCAATAATGAAACAATGAAACGGGAGTCTGGAGAGTCTGGAGAGTCCCTCGTTTTCGCCTTGAGAGCAGCACGCGCATCTTTAGACACATTGGATTCAACGTCAAAAAAACAAAACCACAACCGTGACGGAGCAACTCGAACGCACCACTGCCGAGACGTGGCATGTGCGCGCACGTGTGTGCATGTGAACGTGGGAGAGAGAGAGAGAGAGAGAGAGAGAGAGAGAGAGAGAGAGAGAGAGAGAGAGAGAAAAAGAGAAGGGGAGGGAGAGTTGAAAAAATAAAATGAGTACAAACTCACCCCTGGAGGATATCTGGAGGAAGAGGCGCGGGTCCGCGGCGCGTATGGCCGCGGTGTAGCGATCCTCCATCCCAGGCACCTGCGCCTTTTTCTCTGGGATGAGCCGGACCCTGAGCCGGGCCCCCTCCGCGCCAAGCCACCACTCCAGAATAGTTGTGAGGTCCATTTCCAGGTCGAGCGGCGGGGCCTCCTCGTGCACGGACAAACCCCCGCACCCCGTCCGCACTAGATCCTCTCCTATTTCCACCACGACTTGGTTCAATTTCCTGCTGGCTTTCGTCAAGCCTAGTTTCAGAACTTTGGACAGCGGCCGCTTGTGGGAGAAGGGCAGCTGTCCCTCGGCGGACGCGTTCCTCGGCGCGGAGTCCGCAAAAGTAGACACGGTCTTCTGCAGGGGTGTGCAGCGCATTTTCAAGTTTGCGCGCACCGCGTAGCACCCGCTGGAAGTCTGGCAGTCGCCGTTCAGGGGTCTCTTTATGAACTCCGCCAGGTAATAGCGCAACAGAGAAGGGACTGCAAAATCCACCGCGAGGGTTTTCCTCTTGAGCCTGGAGTTCATGGTTTGGTTTGAGTCCCGTTTGCTCCCCGTTTCCCCGCTGGTGCCGCCGCCGTTCACGTTGCCGAAGCCGGCGGTGGGGACATCCATCCCCGCCGTGGTCCTTGTCGAGGCGCACTGCAGCCCGGTGAAAAACGCTGCAGAACAAACGAGCGAAAACAATATCCTGGCGTTCATGATTAAACAAAACAATGTAATGATCTTTCGTTTTTTATGGGAGAAGAAGCGCCCGGTAATCCCGCCGTTCCACCGTCTCCTCTCCGTCTGCTCCTGTCACACAGGCAGCAGCAGCGCAAGATCTCAAAGTGCGAATCGATGATCCTGCGGGTCTCTTGCGCCTCCTCGCCGGTGCGCACCCGCGGCAAGACAGAGGGAACTGTTTTTTTGTTTTCTTTACATTAGTTTGCCGCTGACTGTTGATGTCCACCCTGCTTTAAACGGGAAAAGTGCCATCTCCCGCTCTCTGTTCCAACCCCCCCCCCCCACCCCCCAACACACACACACACACACACACACCTTTAAAACAATGCCTTTTCCTCCTCGGTGCTCCCCAGGACGCTGATTGATATGCCGGTCGGGTCCGCTCCGGTGGCTTCCAAAAAAAGACTCCCTGTCTCTTTGGCACAGTTGTGACGGCACACAAGTGGTCTCTCTGTCAACAGCGGGATGCAGCGTCGCTCTCTTCCCCCATCCACTCTCTCTCTCTCTCGCGCAACTAAATCTCAAATTCACAGCGAGTTCTTCTTCCGATCAGCAAAGCATCGATTAGAGTTGTAAAATAGCGACGCGTGTTACCGGTTCGCCTAATTGAAAAAGCCGGCAGCAGCGTCTCTCAGGTTGATGTATTCGGCGCACATTTTAGTCACAAAGTGGCAGCTCCGCTCGCCTCTGTCACGCCAGCGGTAAAAAAGAAAAAAAAAGTCAGTTCATTTGACGTCAATGCGAGCCGTTTTCTCTCCCCTTGCGCAAGGGGGGTAAAAAGAAGCCCTCTGCCTCCGTTCCGGACGCGTCTGAAGCGCACCTCGGCGCTGCCGTAATGGTGCCTGTGTCTTTATTGTAACACAGCAGCCAGCGCACAGCTCCAACAGTTAGTCTCTCTCGTGATTTCTTAATGAATCACCGAGCCCCCTTTGGTGTGTGTCCTGAAATTGGATTGGATTTAGAGTCGCACACTCTTCCGGGTTTGCGTGTATGTGTGTGTGCGTGCGTGTGTGTGTTCGCGGAAAATCGAATAGTTTCAGAAGGAGGCTGTATTTTTGGGTTGGAGCCCATTTGGCTTTTTTTGTGTGTCTCGTGCGCAAGAGGCCATTGTGTCCCTAAAACGCCAACGAGAGCACCGTGCCAGCTCATTTGTCTCACAACACAACAACTTCCTTAATTGGTAATCAAGGGGGTTCGTGTTTGGGGGCACGATAGGAGGGAGGTGAATAAAAACAAAATGCCACAAAATGCTCGTTCATCCCCCGCCCCCCCTCACTGAAACATTCTCTCTCCCTGTGTGTCTAAAAGTTGATCGGAAGAGACACCCGCTAGATGGCGACAGCACATGCTTATGGTACATGAGAACAGTGAGCAACTAATGGGGAAGTGAACAAGTGAGCCACAGGGCTAAGGCGGGACAGGTGAGATTAATCGGGGAGGGGACGCAGGAAGCGCAACAAGACGTGACAGGTGTGGAGAGTGACTATCAAAATAAAACATTCTTCCTCCATTCATCCCACACATACTACTGTAGATCACTGTACAGCATTATTGTGTGACCTAATCCCGTATTCATTGTTATCGCTGTTTTAACTGCTTACGGAGTCCATGGCCTGCTGACTGCACAGTTCTTGTTTGAGCCATAACAAACATACACAGGTGGTTGTGATTAATTATTCATGTGAACAACTCCGTTGTTGTGGCTCTGCATGATGGGAGCCCATTCTTTCTCACTAATCAGGCACCATTAACGGCTGCTTTTTTAATAACACCTGGCGGAGATCATGAGTTTCTATCGTGTGTGTGCGTACGAGTGTCTGTCTGTCCACGGCTAATCTCACAAAATACTGGACCCATCAGCCTGATATCTTCTGCGCTCATTTATGACCGTATTCTCCGGGACCTCTTGTGTGTGCGATGAGTCACTCTTTTAAAATAGCGTTTATTGACTGTTTTTCTTACCGTCAATGACTGCTGACTCTGCGCTCCCCTTAACCGGCCGGTTATAAACTAATCCGTGCAAATCCTCTCGGTTAAAAAACAACCTCACCTGGTCAAAAACAAACAATTAGAAAAGTTTGGTCTCATTTTAAACCGGAGCAGCTGCAGATTAATTCCATATATTGTGATCCATTAAATTAAGGCGTGATACTTTCTGTGATTTTTTTTTTAATGAAAATGCGTTATAAATAAAATGCATAATTATTATTATTATTATTTGTGATATTCCAGTGCATCCTTTGTTTGGGTGGGGAGAGGGAGCCTCACCTGGTGGACGCTCTTCTGAGTGCACTTTTCTTACAAATGGAACACCTAGAGCTACTTTTTTCACTTTCCTGATTGGGAAATAGCCCTTTCCGTTTAAGGGGTTAATTGAGCTGCACCGGTAGCAGGGGATTTATTAATATATTTGTCATTGACCGATCACTGCCTCGTGCCTGCATAATTACTTCCCAATAATGGACCTGTCCTTCTCAGAGGCTATTCTTCATCTCTATTCTCCTTTTTACTTGCTTCCTTAATTTGCTCTCTATTGCCATGATTGGACAAGGCAGTATTGGTTTATTTGTGATGGGGTTGAGTATACACACACACACACACACACACACACACACACACACACACACACACATCAAGCTTAACATCCAAGGTTTGTGACTGCGTTGTCCTCAGTCCCTTGTCCTTCCGTCCCCCTGACACACACAGTGTGTCCATCATGCAAATGCACATCCCTACACTGTAGTAGATTAAAAACCAGTCCAGCAGATGAGTATCTTCAGTCAGACAAATTTTTATTTCTTCTCCTTCTTTATTCATCACGCATTCCACCCAACATCTGAGCACGTTATTCAGGACAAGTTGTTCTATACATAGTCGGAGAAGCTGAGGAATGATAAATGGCGTGAGGTGGGCTGAAGGAGGCCGGTGTGGAGAGGGAAGGAGTATCGGTCACACCTACACTCTGAACTCTCCCATCGTTCGATACCTAATCCGTCTAACACTAAGTTCTATGCACGATGTCGTTGTGCATCACTTTTGGACATTCCGCTCAGGTAATTGCTCGAGGCGAGCCCCCGTGCGACTATAGGCTCTCCAGCTGCCGTGTGTGTGGCTGAATGCAGGTTTGATTATTTGACTGCAGAGGACTGTGGAAGTAGTAGAACTGAATCAAGACAATATCTGGAGTTATGAATAACAGATTTCAGCCAAATTGATTTTCAACTGGCAAAAGCCAAAAGTAAAGAGTAAGATGCTCGAGTTCTAACTTTTCACACTAAATAGATTTTGATGAATCGATATGTATGTGCATAATTGTGAGGAGATGGCTGATGTGTGTATGGGCACTTTGTTAACAGCCGTTGCTGTATTCTCGGTAATAGTGCATTTTGAAAGTATTTGCGGTACTGCCAAGGCAAACTTAATTGCTTTCTGATTCATCACTCATTCACACTTATCAGTCCTCCTGCAGTAAAAAAGAACCAGAGCCTGGATATATATTACCCACAATGCACTGCTGTAGTGTCCATTTCATCTGAACCAATTTTTAGTATCCAGCTCACAGGTCAGTGCACGGGGGGAAAGGGTCAGTGTGGGAGTGGCGGTGTGATAAATTACAGACAGATAAGTTCTTACGCATCTCTTCCTCCTTTCTCTACAGTTTTTTAAAATTTTTTGTCTGTTTTTCTTTTTTGCTTTCATGCATGCACAACACACGTCTGTAATGATTGAGGAAGGAGCCGCTGAGTCTCGCACCCCCGAGCTGTGAATTTTTACAATGCTGAGGCGACAGTCCCGCTTCCTTTAGCATTCCTACCTCGTGACATTTTTTTCTCTTCGTTCCATAAATCAAACCCCCCACCCACCGTCCCAGACCTGCCGAGTGGAAGAAAATAAATAAGGCTTATGAAGAAAATAGGGGCGGGGGGGGGAAAGAAGCTTTTGCACAGAGAGTGTTCAAGATTTGGAGAGTTTCCTGTTGACAGCTGTAATAAGAGTTTTGGGGGCAGTCATCTCTTAGTGGGGGGGGTAAACTTTTTGAACAGTGGCAATACCCTGGGTAGTGGACTTGAATAATGGCAGCCTTTAAGTTCTGGTCCACTGAGCCCTCTGCATGAGCAGCACTCACATTAATCATTGCACTGCATCCCGATAGCATAACTCTTACGCCTGGACTCAACCGGGCGCGTCTTTAGCCGCCAGAGTGATCGCTTCTACTCTAGCCGATGCTTGTGATTCCGCCAGACGCCACCTAGCTAGTTTCAGAAGTGGCTGTCCGCTTTGTTCCGCAAAAAAAAATATGCGGCCAGCCTATTTCCGACGGAGCCGCGGGGGCGTTGCACAGAGCAGATCGAGCCGGGCAGGAAGTGAAACGGCTAGAGCACCTGGCCAATTTTCAAAATAAAGTCCCTTTGCACACCTCTCCCGATCTTATCACAGCACTACATCCACAGATCTTTGATCCATCTTGTTCGTAACTGTACTTTTGACAGTATTCACTTTGCCTGTAGGCTAGAGCACAACAGAGAAATGACACCGATGAACACAATCAAAATCAACAAAATCTGCAAGTCGTGCAGAAGAAACACTCACGGTGTGGTATGACGCCGTGTGGTGTGGACGGCGGAAAAAATCTGCGTCTCTGCCGGAACGCGCCGTTACGGTGGCAAGATGCCAAATCCGGCACGACAAAATGAAAGATGCGGCGGAACACAGAAATGGTCCAGTTTGCTCCAGCAGGTGGGTGATTCTTGGTTTTAGCTCGACTGTTTTCAACACGGCCGCCGGGTCACAAACTTTCTCATCTTACAGCTGAACGGAAAACCCAAATATGTTTACGGAAACATTTGAGGCGAGATGTAGGCTGTGCAGCAACACAATACCGATTCATTTTTGATCGGCGCTGCCAAGTTTCACTGATTGAGTTTTCGCGCGCATGCTGCCCTGCGATGGATTTGCATTAAGTTGAGTCATGATGATGCAAATGTAAGGATGGCGAATCACCATTCAACTTGCCGTTTCGTTTTTCATCATGCAACGTCATCCGGCTTTCTTGCTCTCTGTAGAAACTTAGTAGGATTCGTCAATTTCGCATACGTCAACGGAATTGTAGTATCTCCCCCTTTAGTTTGATTCAGGATACAAGAGAATAAATGAATACTGTTTTGGTTGGAGTGATGGAACCATAGAAAAAGAATAGGAGTAGAACGACAATTCTTTTTCCAATCCATTTTAATTGCAACGATTGTAGTGGGCTGACATCCATATATGAACTCATACGAATCACTCGTGCCAGCGTGACGTGTTAAACTACAGTGTCGGTGTCTATGATGTGTGTGTGTGTGTGTGATAGTCACAGATTCACTCTGTGACTATACCTCCGCTACCTCCGACTCAGCGGCGGAGCAACGCACTTAACAGCCCCACTGACGTGTGTCGTCACCGTGACACCCATCGCCATTATCTTTTGTACTCGTCAAATGGCCACGGCAAACAGCTCAACGTCTGCTCTACTCCTATTCTATTTCTACGAATGGAACATGTGACAAGCGTCCAGCCACCCTTTTTTTTTTTTTTTGCCCCACAGTGTGAACAGTTTGACTGGCCACTTGTCAGATAACTCCTAAATGTTCCCTACATAACCCGGAAATTGGATTCAGACAGCAACGAGAAGCGGCAACAGTTAGCTGAACTAATGGCACACATTGGTCTTTATAAAGGTAGAGCTCCTATTCGACAGCTTCTCCTCAGCAAGGGGGGCTATAAAAGTAGCCTTGAATTTTATATAAAGATTTGTGCAAAGTGGATAAACCATTACATTTTTATTTTTTTAAATGTTGCAGGAGTGCACGAGGACCTGGGTGGGCGAAGTTGAGCTTTTTTACTCGACTCCTTTTGACCTAACAAATTCTGCTCCGAGACCTTTCCGGCTGTTTGAAAACTTCCCTTTGCTTTAGAGCGGCATGCTCGTGTGTTCTTTGTTGCTGTTTTTTGCCAAAATCCATCTTCTAAACCACACAGAA